AGGGTGTAGGAGTTTAGGGTGTAGGAGTTTAGGGCTTAGGGCTCAGGAGTTTAGGGTTTAGGCTTAGACTTTAGGGTTTAGTTCAGGATTTAGGGCTAGGGTTTAGGGCATGAGGGTAGTTATGGCCACAACCAAAAAGTTGTTCGATTTCTCCGAAGGCATGCAAGGTCGTGCGTTGGATTTCTTGGGGTACGGGGTTCCGTATATGGCTGGTGAAGGATCATGTTTCTCCCATGGGAATAGGCTCTAAGACTATTGAACGTGTTTTTAATTGTTTCAATCGGAGCTGAATGGTAGTTTCCATACACGGGTGCAACCCAATCCCATGTCCATGAACTTATTGATTCATCTGCACAATTTCAGGAGAAATCGACTTCCCCAAATCGGGCACCAAACTATGAAACCCGGACGAGTGCCACTTTACCAAGCCTTGAGTATGGTGACTCGTTCGGGCTCAGGGTTTAGGGTTTGGGAATGAGGAACATGACAAAACCTGCATTCTTGAATGCAAGATGCGGGGCTAGGTCGGGGTCCCTATCTGTATGCCCGCTAGTTCAAGGCACAACCCTATCCAGGCATGTACCCGGCAAGGACCGAACTGCACAAGTATTTAGTCCTCGCGCGTTTGAGGTACTCCACTTTCCGAAAGCTTTCCCAAATGTTGGCTTGGATGGGCCCTACCCTGGGGTTAAGGCTTGAGGGTTAAATCCTAAACCCCGGCGTAGATGGAATATGGCTTTGGGTTTATTAGAAAAAGATGCCCATATACCCCATATTCCATCTACTTAAGGGGGACTATACTGGCTGGTAGTTGGATTTGAGGAAGGAACCCTTTAGTTGCCCCTTCTGCAGCCCCCCAAAACTATAGCTCCAGGTGTCCAAGTAGTCATCTAATAGTAAGCACCCTGTACTACAATACTAGAACCCAGATGCCCTGCGATTGGATAAAAGAACCCTTCGGGAAGACTGAGGGCTAGTTGAACATTCTTTTCCATTCCTTCATTTCTGGACTCTAAACCCTAAACCGAAGCCTTAAAGCCTTGAAGCAAAAAAACTATAAACTCTAAACTCGGAAGCCTGAACTCTACACCCTGAACCCTAAAAAAGATACACCGAACCTTTAGCCCTAGACTCAAACTCTAAATCCCAAGACCTAACCCCTACACCCTGAAGCCTTAACTATGAACTCTGGACCCTAAACATTAGATATATGAGCCCTAATCTTAACTCCTTGAAGGGGATTATATAGGGGACTACCATAGGGGTTCCTAAGGGGGATACTCGGAGTTTAGACAATGGAATGTATGTTTCCAATTTCTGTTCCGTCCCTATCAGTGCCAGAGTCTTGTCACGCCCCAGCCTTAACCCCAAACCCTAAACCCCTAAACCCTAAACCCTAAACTGCCTGGCGATTGCTAATGTGACTACCTCGGTATAGGGTTTACGGTATACTACCCCCCAAAAAAAAATCAAACCAGGACAACATAGTACCGTCAGACAAATTTATATATATATATATACATATATATATATATACATGTAGGGTTTAGGGTATAGGGTTTAGGTTTATATATATATATATAGAGCGAGGTTTGCAAATTCTGGGTTCCCCATTTTGGGGGGCTTCTTATAAGAAGGTCCATAGTAGGAAAGTTGCCATAGGGTCTATATTTGGACCCATCACTCTGAAAACCATAGGGTGGCAGGTTTAGGTCCTACAATCATGCTACTTGCATGTCAAGAAGTTTTGCCTATATCATGGGAAGTACGACTGCGGGTTTGGGTCGTAAGACGTAGCGATTCGAGAAATGTATTGTAGCCGTATTTCCTCTCCTGCTGAAACTTCATAAGCCAAACCGCGCCTCTTCACGTCAGAACGCTTAGCCCCAACAGCTTGAATCCAAGCTTAAGTCCTGAACTATCATTGTCAGGCCCCGCAATCTTACGTTTTGAGCCCTACTTGGGGAGTATCTAGGATGAAGTAATTGGTTCTAACTGGACTTACCCCAAGGGGTCCAAGCACCTAGTAAACATATATTCACCCCAAAACCGTAGTCTCATTCCTAAAATTACCATTACCCAAATCCCAACTACCTAACTTTTGGGTACTTGAACCCTAAACCCTAAACCTAAACCCTATATACCTCCATATGTCCTCCTTAAAGGGACCTAATTGGGTACTTGGACCCTCTGGGTTATAACTAGGGTAACCCAAGTAAGTGAGCCATGCGCACGGCTCTAGCTGACTGAGTCCCATGTCCAAGCGGAGATTTCCTAAAAAATATTATCATATCCCTTGGGCTCCAAGTATACAAATAATACCCGCATTGGGCCCCAAAGACTGTAAATA